CGCATATTTAGCCTTGCCATATGTAGCCAGTATTTATGCCATAAGAAGATAAACGTAGATAAACGTATAATGTGTTTGCGTCATGTAGGAAATGTATGTTGTGTAACAATGACAACTGGGACAGTGCTTGAGAAGGACGGTAACACGGGAGTAGTGACCAGGCACTAGGAAATCCTTGGGTTTTGTGGTGATGAGGGTTAAAGTCACCGATGCTCCGCCCATGCGGGCTCCCTTTCACCCCAGTGAGTACTGCGGAGTGAAGTGAGTAATGTGAAGTGACGTGGGTGCTTCAGAACTGTGATTTCGATCTGTACTGGCAAAAAGTAAAGTATAAAAGTTCAGGGCGTTATCCCATATGAGGGATTGATTGCTTATGTGGCCTATACAATGATTTGCGGTGGCTAGCCGATGTGTAAGTCAGTGCTTTTATACCCTCTGACGAATCTGGTCACACTTAACTGACCACGGAAGGATGGCAGGCTTGGTCGGCTTAGGCGGATATCGATTTGTGATTCGAACCGGCGACCATGCGTGTGTGAAGTGTGCCATTTGACACTTCATCTCAGAATTTAGCGCAATAGCGCACATAATGAGGTTAGTCCATAATTGCGCTCAACCACAGTTCATAGCCGTGAATATATCAGCTTTTCAACCTAAACTTGAAGGGAAGGAGCACCAGTCAACTGGATATTCGACTCATACCCCCTGCTATCTTTTTGCCCGAGGTTGTCATCACACCCGGCGCTCTTCCGCTTCTGAGGCTTAGGTTGAAAATACAGGGTGTGCCAAAATTATTCGCGCCAAAGTTCAGTAATTTTTAAGGTAGAAATAATCTATCAAATTCACATTACCTGTTATTAATTACTTGCATAAGAAGGTTTCCTTGCAATATGCATGGTTGCTGATGTGGAACCCCCTTTATCTTTCAGATGGAGGAGGCTCATTCAATGCCATTTGCAATCATTGACGCGCGAGAAGTGGAAGGGCGTTATGAAATTCTTTGGGATTTTTCTAATAACCATATAGGAGGCTATTAAACGCTATAGTAAAGAAGATTGAATCAGAGACAAACCAGGAAAGATAGAAAGGTAGAATGTTTGTGAAGATAGGACTATTAAAATGGTCCGTATGCCAATCGGTCGGAATCCTGGGTGACCCATCAAAAGGAAGTCAACGGGCACGGCTTATCCGAGTTATCGCAATGGAAGAATGTCATGCAGGAGCTTCACTGCCGTTCCTATCGTATGCAGGAATTTCGCTTCAATTCCGATCTCAACAGATATTGCAGGGCCAAAAATGCAGAAAGTCGAAAGTGGTGACACGCAACCCTTCGTCGTTTTCTCTGGTCAAGAAATTTTTTACGATAAAGCCATTCCTCAACAACCACAACGTTCGCGTTCCGGAAAGAAACATCCAGCGTGTAATATCTCACAAAAAGGTTGCTATCAGAATAGTAAAATGATGTTTTCCGAGGATGGCAATGGTAAGCCGCTCGTGGTTTCTTCGGTGCAGGCGTGAAAATTGACCAAGACCAGTACTCAAATACTAATAGAAATAAATAAACCATTGATCCGACTACGTTTTCTGAAACATCTCATAGTCCTTCCAACAGGACGCTACTCCAGCGCACAGAGCCAAGTTTGCCCGCGAGTGGTGCCGCCGACAGCTGCCCGACTTCATTGGTGAAGAGGAATGGTCATCCTATTTTCCAGATCTTGACTCACTTGAATCCCACGAATGGTCCCTGATTAGAAGAGGGCCTGTCGAGTTTGCAGTCCCAGTTTGGAGTCCTAGAATGCAAAAGCTGGAGGACGGCTGGGAAGAAATGGAGAAGGATACCTGCGTGCCACATGCGATCAAGTCGAAAGCAAACTTTGACTTCTATTCGCGCTCATGGGGAATATTTTGAAATGCGACTTTAGCATGTTGTAGCACATAGTGTTAGTTAGCGTGCATAGAAATTCCATCGTCTTTCGCCGTTCTAGTTTCAAATATATTGCTATAAATCGGCGCAAGTAATTTTGGGCTCGGAGCCGTTTCAGCCGGGCGTTCCGACTGGTGGTTAAATAAAAAAAGAAGAGGTGGCCGGGATGGCATGCGTATGTATACGTGTGGATAGTGTTTTTACATAGAAAAACCCAGAAAGCTTTCAGGGAACCCCGAGAGGAATTTGGACTATCGCGAGGCTTCTGGTCCATTCTTTCCGCAGCACCACCCTTACAATAACGTTGAAGTAATCTCACTGATGACTGGAGTAATCTGCCCTCCTGAATGCTACTTATTTACGAGAGCGATATTGTCTAAAGAGGCACTGTGTATGTGAACCGAAGCAAGCCGAATAGGTTTTATGGACTACATAATCATAGACCCTGAAGAACTGGTGAGATCCAAGGACTTTTTTAAGAGAAAATTTTCTTGGTCGTTTAAATATATAAGCAGCTAAGAGCTCGTGGGTAGATAAGGTATCCCTGATGTGTGCATTGAAGAATCGAGTGGATAAGATGCGTCAGCGCAAAAATCGAAGGCATTTTTTACAACAAAAATTTGAGATTAACTTTTCAATTCATAATGCATAGAAAGTTACAACAAGTTTATGAGCAATTGGCAGATTTGACACACTCCAAATAACGATTTATTAAATTCTATTAAGTTACAATCTCTCGACAGTTCTGACGTCCAAAGGACGCACTGCAAAACACATAAAACAGAAGAAGGAAATGCTGATGAAAGGCACGTATTTGAGCCGAATCGCTCTTATTGGAACAAGTAAAGCGGTCTATATGGCATGCTTCAAAGTTGTTTCACTAAATGTGCTACTCCTTCGATACTGATGGGCAATGATGTGGTAAACATAGAAATTATTCCAAAGTGAACTCGGATGGATGGTTTAGGAAACCTCGAAATGTGTAGTATTGATCAATTCACCACATGGGGTATACCGTTATGTTGCTGTAGAACTCCCTTGGATGAAGCAGAGCTTTGCAAATGCCATATTAGCCGCCGACCCGTGAGTGATGAAAGGTTTTNTTTTCTACATAATATGCATAAAGAGGTCTATAATCCTATGGAAGGCACCTGTGTGAGCAGGGACTAGTTGCGTTTCAGACTCTGCATATAGTCCGAACAGGCCTCAGGTGCCGGTTCAAGTTTTTTGCAGAGATTCTCAGTAAGATCGTAGAGGGCGTCAGTATTCCGCTCGCCGTCAATCATGATCCAGGGAACGAAGTCGAGTCGAGGATGGAGAGCAGCCGTTCGTGCACCGGCTATCGCCAAAAGGCGTCGACCTCGTGGACCAGCGGCACATGCTTGCATTCTAAATGAGAACCTTCAATACTGGCAAATGCAATATCGTAAAAGGAGGCTCAGCAAAGAAATCGAAGGGCAAGGCAACTGGATTGGGGCATAAGCATACAGATTGAAGGGAGGGGAAGTTGGGGCCAACGGAGAACAATTACAAGACAGGCTTTTGGTCTAGAAAAGTGTTCTTATCCATTCAATGATGGTAATGAATTCAGAGTTGTCGGTTGGTTGTTGGAGAGAAAGATCATATTAGTAAATCAAGGAATGGATTGAGTGCCCGTCAATGTAAAGGAAGACAGGAACGAAAATTCAGTAAGGCTCCTATAGTATTCCGGCACGACATAACCCCATTCGCAATTTTTTACCAATCACATATACGATGCGTCGAAAAGGGGCCTTGGGGAAGGACACGCGGTTGAATGGTGGAAAGGCAGGGGGTTACTCTAACGATAAGAGCCGAGTGCCAGTACTTTCGTTTCTGTAGCGGGAAAGATCGGCTGTGAAATTGATAAATAGGTGTTACTACTGATAGTGATACTTACTCTGCCTCATCCAGCAATGGATTATTTGATATACATGACTGCATCGCGTTTTCGAGATTGAACTTCCCCTGGATGCAATCGATGATCGGCACTATCTTATCCGGAAATCCCACCCGATCAATAACGCAGTTCATCAACTGGTTCAGAATACATTCGTTTGCTTGATGTTGGCAGGAACACCTGGAATAGTGAAGTTTGAGAAGCAACACGTGTAAACTCTCGTTGCTTGAAATCTACTCGGATTGTTCGATCTCATTATTGGAGAGTAAATAGTCGAAAAGGTTCCAAATTCTATGTCATGTTTTAGTGCTTTTCAGAATGACAATTGATTGGTTTATTCAGATGCTCAAGCACCTTCAATCAACACCACTGAACAGTAATTCAGATAGAGAGAGAGAGTGGAGACGTGCCAAAATAAATCCTCGGATTAAATTCAAAGTCCACTATAGTTTTGAGGTACCCCTTTTTAATTCGAAAAGGGGAAGTGTAGGTGGGAATACTTCATCGGAAGTGAAGGAAGAGATAAAATTCGCCGATTCCGAGAAAAATATGGCTCCTCAAAGGTAGGATAAAGAAGGTTGGACGAGATTACCATGATGACGGAAACAACATGAAGGGATATTTGGACCAGATTTCATTTGTTGCAATTGCGCAAGGAACTGACTACATCAAGCGAGAACTCTACAGAACTACCTTCCACTGTCACTATGGGCCATGACAAGTGGTTTTATCTCTCTACATTGGCTTCCTTGCGATTGGTGCAGCCCCTACAATGCCGGCGAAACTCGTCCGAGGATACACACGATACAGTCTTTGAGCCTTTATAACGCCCTATCTAGGCCGTTATCAGGTAAGACAGCGCCACATACGGCATACGGGTGTTCTACAAATTCATTCTAGCGGGATATCTCAAAAGTCATTTTTATCGTGAACTGTGCCTTCCAGGTTGTTGCCGCCTGGCAACATATGAGGAACACCGCATCTCATGAGACCAAGATTATACTGATTGCCAGCCCCTGCCTACTGCATAAGTTGGACAAATTTAAGAGAAGACAGGGCCAGTACGTAGGATAGGGCAGACTTTTTGCCTCACCGTCTGAATAACTGTTACCCAAGATAAAAAAGCCTTACTCAAAGTCGTTGTCTCCTTTCGCAACACACCGTGCTTTTCCAAATGGAACCAAGACAAGCTCTATGCGGCCGGTTTGGGACAACAACGACCAAGCCTTCATCAATTGTTTGTGAAGAAATCTGTAAAATGCTGATATTTTGAGTGGTTGAAAACGATTTCGTTGGCGAATTTCTCTGTGCTATTGTCCCCAACAAAACTGATTCTGTGTCGCAGCTGAAAGAAATAAGCTCAGTGGAATACAAATAATGCTGCATGCCCCTCACATCGACGATGAAAATGCTATTAAAACTTCTGTGCAGTGGGAAATACGCATCAAAATTAAATAATCCGCTGCACCCAGTCCCAAACCATAATTGCAAAAGTACAAGAGATCCAAACATAATTGCATACCGTGAAGTGTCAGGACATTGAGACTCCATATAAATCTCCAGCTTGACTGTATTCAGTTTAGGAGCCGCAGGAGCTTCAGGTAGCATAATCTGTAATTATCAATTTCACAGAAAAATATGATCAATTCAGTCCAGTTCTTCTCTCATTAATTTACTGGTTTTGTTAGAAAACATACTGAATGGCGATCAATTTACATGTGCATGTTCCTGATCCTATGGTTCGAACGACCTTTCCCCCGGAATTCCCACTTTGCTCGTCTGAGTCCAAGGCTGATAGCTGGACCCACGATAAGTTATTTGTCTTGAAAATGTTCCCAAAGGAGGAATATGGTCTTGCTGTGGGGCTACATCGGTCCACTGCATGAGAAGCCGAATAAATGCTTAACTGCTTAGGAAGTCAGAAGTTCACCACAGCTGGGGAACTTTCTGTGATGTGATCTTTTCATCTGAAGACCTATACTTTATTCTTCTCGAATCAGTTTCATGATGAAAGTACTGCTCTATAGTTAAAGGCACATCTAACAATAATTCTAAAGCAGCCATTTATGGTCAAAGAGCGGAAGTATTGGTTGGGAGTAGTTCATCGGTAGTGAAGAAAGCGAGGGAATTCGCCGAGTCCGAGAATATTACTCCTCAAAAGTAGTGGAATAGAGTTTGGACGAGATTACCATGACGGAATAACATGAACGGGGTATCCGGACGAGATTTCAATTTTTGCAATTGTGGAAAGAGCTGACTGCAGTTGCGCTAAGAGCAAGCCAAAAATGCTCAGAATCGCCTTTCACTGTCGCTATGGGTCATGACAAGTTGTATGAACATTCAACATGGGTTCCCTTGTGAATGGTGCAGCCTCCATGCATAAACACGGAACAATCTTTGAGCCTTTATAACGCCTTGTCTGGCCGTTTTCCGACCTGACATATGGTATACGAGAGGACCAGAGACTTATGCCAGCGGAATATTTCACTAGCCATTTTTATCGCGAACTGTGCTTTTAGGCTGTTCTCTGAGCGAATGACGAATAAATGAATTTCACCCAAAACGGCGAAGACTTTTTCAGTTTGCTAGCATTGCTGAAAGATTGAGAGAATGCGCGCAACTACTTGAATGAGAATTGTGGCCGAAAATTCTTCTCTCCTAGCTTCGAGCAACCATTTCCCAAGTTATCCCAAGTAGGAACCCGTTACTCAAACCACCTCAACCCATCTCACGCAACAGAATGCATGGGATTACAAGATATCGAATGAATAGATTTTTATGCAAAATTGTATCAATATCTCCACCCAAATAAAGGGTCAGGGTTTGGCAATTATGTCAAACAAGGTACCGTACACACTTCATTCAAAGGTAAATTTTGGTTCTTTGAGGAACCGCTTCCAAAGGGGTCACAGGCATAGGTTAGAATATGGTTTTTATGCTGAACGACGCTTCGTAGTTTGAAGCTTTGACTTTATGTCGAGTGATAATCAATACCTTTTTAAGCACCAAAATATAAACATTCAGAATTTACACGAATTTAATGATAATTTCGATAGCTATCGTTCCCAAACCATTTTTGAAAATTTCCACCGGATTTCTATTACTCAAAGGCACAGTTATGGCAATTTCGCGTTATCTACTTATAGGCGAGTAACGGATATGATAGTTCAGAATAGTGCAAAAAAAGGAGAAGGAAACGCGGAAATTGGCGTATTTAGAGAAATATAAGTCTTGAAAAAGAAAAGAAGGTAAGGGTTGGACGAGAATGTTACGAAAAAACTGCATGCCGGAGGTTTCTGGACGAGCTGTTCGAATGCGTGCGCCATTGCATACAGCCAGCTGCAATACACTGCCTGCGTGCAAGGTGAAGGTCTTGGTGGGGATGGTGCAACCTCTGCACCCTTTACGACTCATCAGCTCTCGTCCGCCTTGGGTACGAACTTTCCCTAAGCTGATTTGGGAGGGGGGGGGGGGGGGTTCTTATTACGCCCTATGTTCTTCAGGCTATCCTCGGGAGTCACAGGTCCATCCTAAGGGGACATTGCTAACGTGGACTGTGCCTTTAAGAAATGCTTTCTCTGGTAGCGATTTTCAGGTAATGGCTCTCGCAATCCTACAGTACTCAGAAAATAGATAAGTAAGCTAAATTAGGAAGAATATAAAACTGGAAGTCATTAATGGCAGAGGAAAAGCTTCTGTGTGCAGCACGCCGCTTTGTTAGAAGTTGGAACTCGAATGGCATAGAAGTTGGAACTCGAATGGCAAAAAGCGAAAATCAAAAAACGGTGAACCAACACCTATAGGGCGACCACTGATAGTTACGTATGTCCTCGGACAGTATGACATATGAACAAATTACTATAGTACAAAGAAAACTGGTAGGCTTCGATACGGCTTACTTTCCAAAAGAATCTATTCGCCTGCGATAAGTCTGCTAGATGATTGGTGCAATTGCGACGGAAGAATAAGCATTGCAGGTTTTCCAAATCACGTTCCAGCAACACAAGCGGATGTCGACGATCTGTGGGGCGAGTTTGAGGTAGTTCAAATCGAACGGCTTGGACGTGATGTACCGTCAGCGCTGACATCATTAGTAATAACATCTCGAACAGAAAAGCGTAATAAGAAGCCAGTGAGGCCGATTGCGCTGCTCTGGAAATCGCTGTGCGGAGATTTCGCCGTGATAAGGAGTGAGATGGGCGTTTAATGATCTGACTAGTGGGGCCAAATAGCTTCACTAACAGCTGAGACAAAAGGCAGGCCGTATGATCGGGTCCAACAGCTGGTCCTCCATGAGCTTGACACACTCTCCCGACGTACTCAACCCAACACACTCGAAGAAAAACAATATATAACTCTTTTGTGCTTTACGGAACTGGCTGTAACTGGTTCCTCTTTGATTGTGTTGTCTTATGACAACGTAATATCCACTAATCATTGTCATCGGCAATTCCTTGCATTGAGAAGGTTTACATCAAATCCATTAACCAATCTGGTTTCGGCTAAATGAACAGTTCGGAAGCAGAAAGCATGAGTCAATCAATAATTGTGGACGCGGAAGCACCCGAAACAGACAGCGTTTCGAACTTGTGAATGTGAAAGAGGGAACAGGAACAGGTGTGTGTCGTGAACAAGGGGTAGCGACAATCGGATATGAAGGGATAGTGAAAACGAAAACAAGAATTGTCTCCGCTAGACATACTCCACGAAATCTGGCTATACTCCGCTTATTGACCCTACTCGGTTGTCTTCGCAATTCATAATACGGATCGACAGGTGAAATACTTTTCAGACACCCTATGGACTTTCTCTTCTCTTACCACATGAGATTTATTCAATGTCATAGGCCTACAGCCACAGGATAGTTTACGAATGGCGTTCATAATTCTACCCACTGATTCTACCCAACTCTACCCATTGAATTGATCAGGCTGTGGAGGTTCTATGTGTTTGGTTCAGCTTTCATTAGTAGCCGATGACGACTTTGTGGGCAGTAATACCAATATCTCTTCTTTTATTGGAACGTGAATCAATTTGACTCGGATGGACTGGTCTCGGTCCAAGCTGACCACATAGTCGGGATGAGAGATGGCCAAAACGAACGCCGTAAGAAAAGTGTACGGGCTGCCAGGTTTTGCATATAGTACTCATTAGATACCACCAAAAGAGACAAGGGTAAATTGCTTTTATCCACATTTCCTTTCAGAAGAAAAATAAGGAATACAATAATTCCAGAAGGGTGTGTCGTTTAATTTTCAGAATATGGCGAATAAATAAATGATTCGCTCTACAGTTAGAGCTGTGCAAAAGTTTCTTGGCCGTTTATTAGAGGTTTACGCTTCCTCCGTTATGTGGAACTGAATACCATAACGCGGCACAAACTAGTAATGGATCAGCTCTCCACCACATCAGGAACATGGCTTAACGCATACTATTCGATTCCTCAGATTAAAGGCTATCCATGGATGGATCTCCCCTTGAGCAAAACCTACTTCAGTTTCCCTTTTCAGCCTTTTGCATTTTTTGTGCTGAAGGGTATTCCAGTATTGGACGGTAGCATGTAATTCGTGTGACCAGCGAAGGGAGTGGAACGAAGTGGGCGCACCTTTGAGTGGACTACTTCAATAGTGATTTCCGGTCTTTACGGTGGACCGTTTCCCATCATTGTGCCAGGCAATCGCTCCACCACCCTTTTGCTTCTGCATGAGCACATGCATCATGTGGGTCAACTGCATTGGCTCGTTCCGTCTAGTGCTTGGGAAATCGGTGGTGAAGAAGTTACGACAGAATACGGCAATAAAACAAAATTTTCATGAAATTTTGAATATGACTGAAATAATAAATCATGAGAATTCTCACATTTCAGTGCATTCGCCCTGAGGAATCAAACGTCTTGATTTGCAGCTACAAGATTTGGTTTACCAAGAAACTAAAAGGCGACCAATTCATTGGGATATCTGTTTCGAGAACCCCACAATCTCTCTTGTCTTTCTTGTTCATAAAGCAGTAATTCGGTGTGTCGGTTTGTCGGTTTCTCGGTGTATCAGTTTTTCTCTAAGCACAGGTAAGGCGGCTACCACTCCCCTGCACTCAAGCCCTCAGCGTTGAATAAAAGCAATAACTTGAGTCGGCCACAAAATTCCTACATAGCGCTGTCTGTGATCAGGCGTCACTTTTCGATTCTATCAACATTTAAAACTTGGACGGAACACGTCTCCAAAAAGAAGGTATGCGTTGAAATGAAATCATTGCGCAACAAAGTTTCTCATTTTTTTGAGGTACCAGGATCGATATCCGCCCAGACCAACCAAGCCTTCCATCCCTCCTGGTCGGTAAAGTGGTACCAGACTCGTCTGGAAGGATGAAAGCACTGACTTGTACATCGGCTAGCCACCACAAGTCCCTGTTTAGACCAAGTACGCACTCGTTACGCCACTACGATTCTGAATCGGAGTCGAGCGCGGGGGCGCATCCCTCAGACGAGATTGATTAGCGCCAAAAAACGTTATCCTTTTTATCACCGGTAGTGCTAGCAGCTTAGGAGTGGGTGGAAAAGTAGTTGTCAGATTTCAGCTCGGTGAAAATTCGAAGAGCCGAATTTGAAGATC